AAGCCACCCAGGGGCCTTTTGCATTACTCTGAAATGTGGAATTGTCGCAGGACCTTGAGTTGAGGACTGAAGTGATCTTCTTTATGGTGAATGCTCTGACTACTGTGTTATAGAGAGTAAATTACAAGGCAGCAAGGTTGAATCAGGGAGACTTTTGGTGTGGAGGCTGTTAGGTTAATGCATGTGAAATATGGTGGCTTGGACCAGGGTGTCATGGAAGTAAAGAGAAATGGTGAAGTTCTGGATAGATTTTGAAGTAGAGATAATGGGCTATCCTAACAAGTAGAAAGTAAGTTTAGAAAGGTTTGTTATATTTTATGACAAACTAAGGAAGAAAGAATGGCCCAAAAGAATTTCATACTGTCCCAGGATAACTATATTTCACTTTGTTTTCTGTGTATTTGTAGTAATTCATCTCTGTGCTACCTGTCATACAATTGAATCTATTGTTCAACATTTGCTACTATATTAAAGGTAGTTATATTTGAGATTGGAAAGCCATACCCAGTAGCAGATTCAGTTCTGAAGCAGAAAGACATGTGGCCTCATGAAGCAAGCATACTGCAACAAAGATAAAATGACTGTCACAATAATGATGCAGACTCCCTTCTTCGATTTCTGCAAATCCAATCATGGAAGCAGCAAAATGCAATTACATTGTTTTCTTTTTCCTCAGGTATAAAAAAGAATGGATATGTCTATTTTAGATTTGGGTTTTCTTCAGTGGATTTCTCATTACTGATACCAAACATTGAAAAGGAAGGTGTGATTATTTACTTTAGTTCTGAGGCTTCAAGTCTCAGCATATTTCAGTCCTTGGCATTATGCATAGATTTTTGTGGCCCTCACTATCTTTTACTCTTTCCCACCCTCCTCCCTGCTTTATGCGAATAGAAGGCAGAAGAGCATTGTGTGAACTTCAGCTGCACTTGCAGCTGTGTATGCGTTTCGTGTCTTGGTGTTGAAAGTGCTCTGTTGTGTTAGATTTCGCTTGGATACGGCTGCTTTATACATACACAGTGAAGAGGGAGAGGAAGGCAGGGTGTTTGAAAGCAGGGGAAGTGGGGGCTCAGGATGTGTCTTCAGAGCAGGGCCATAAGCAGCCTTGTATGAAAAACTGGGTTCACTGGAGCCTTTTTTTATTATTATTAAAAAATATTTACATATATGTGTGATTTTTTTGTTTGTTTTCTTTTTTTCCCCTGAGACAGAGTCTCGCTCTGTTGCTAGGCTGGAGTGCAGTGATATGATCTTGGCTCACTGCAGTCTCCGCCTCCTGGGTTCAAGGGATTCTCCTCCCTCGGCCTCTCGAGTAGCTGGGATTACAGGTGCACGCCACCACACCCAGCACTGTAATCCCAGCACTTTGGGAGCCCAAGGCAGGCAGATCATGGTCAGGAGTTCAAGATCAGCCTAGACAATATGGTGAAACCCCTGTCTCTACTAAAAATACAAAAATAAGCTGGGCATGGTGATGGATGCCTGTAATCCCAGCTACTTGGGAGGCTGAGGGAGGAGAATTGCTTGAACCCAGGAGGGAGCCACTGCACTCTGGCCTGGGTGACAGAGCGAGACTCTGTCTCAAAAAAAGAGAAAAATTCTGCAATTCCCAGTTTCATTTCTTTGGGTGATCACTGTTAATAGTGTATATCTTTCAGAACATTTTAAATATGTATATAAATGTGTTTATACATGATCACAAAGTCATTTTTATATACTTGGATTATCGTATACATATTTTTGTGGCAACTTGTTTTTTCACCACTCATTCAGGTTATCTTATGTAACTGAACATCAAAAATAATGCCTTGGTGACCATCCTTGCACACTCATACATATAGCATTCTAAGACAGATTTCCTGATTCCTCATCACTGGGTCATTGGTTAAGTGCATTTAAAGTATGACCAGTATTGCCAGTTTTCTCTCAGATATTTCTGGTTAACATTCTTTCTGATTGTCACAAAAGTGAATGCAGTCTTCAACTTGATTTAACAAAAATAAGGTGTCTAGAACAAGAAAAGATACTTCCTTTGCAATACATGGTGGCAAGCTCTGCTGCATTGGCACCAGAGCAGAGATGGCCCTCATGAAGCCAACTGGTAGCCTGTTATTTGGGCCTTGCTTTCAACTCATAGGACCTGTTCAGCCCCACATTGAAACTTTTGGTTAAAACTGGGTTTATGTATGTGTTTAATCACTTAAACGCTTTCTAATTCTTCTAATTACTTTTTTTAAATTACCTTCTAAGTTTTAAAATGACAGGTGAAACTCAGAAAATAAAGAGGATAATACAGGCTAGCACATGATGTAGAAAAGGAAAATTGGGCAGATTTTTCTTCCCAGCTTAGCCATCTCATCCTTTTAACAGTAGATTTTTTTTTTTCTTTCCAAGGTTAATACCTTGATGTTAAGGTAAGCCCCCAAAGAAAGACTAGTTTGGTTAAAAACAGAACTGAAAGTTCAGCTAGGTAGTGCAGAGACCAGGATTTCCTTTTAGAGTCACTGCTCCCTCCACTAGCAGTTGAGCTTCTTTATAAAGCATATCTTGACCTAAATTCCATAGTTCTTACATAACGGTAGGACTACAGCCAAGCTGTTCAGACCAGTAGTCACTTGACAAAAACATAGATAAGAGTACATTTCCTGGCCACCTCTTAAGCAAATTCAGAGTCCTAAATTCCTAGAAAGAATCATTAGAAGAAAGCAAAACCACGGCTCCAGTGGCGCAATCGGTTAGCACGCGGTACTTATAAGAAGAAAGCAAAACCAAGGATCTGTAGCCAGAATAATTAGATTTCCCTCCCTACCTTTTACAGTCATTTTGCCTCTTACTTGCTAATCTGATTAGTCTTCCTACAGAACTGGACTTACAGAAGATTCTCTTGCTCTTTACATCTTACAACTCCCTTCTCATCATGCACACAGGAAACTGAACCAGGACAGGTTTTACCCTCTTCAGATCACCTTTCCTAGAAAATGAAGAGCTCCCCGCCCACACCCTGTCTTACTTGTTCCTGGTAACCCTCAACCTCTCTCAAAACATTTTGTTTTAGAAGATCTTCTCCCTAAGGAAACTCTACAAGCCAGTTAGCAAAACCCAGGACATAAGCTATACCATTTACTCTCTTTATTTGTTCTCCTCCCCACCTGCTCTTAAGTCTTCTCTTCATACTGTGTTGATGGCCTGTCTTCCCACACCCCATCTGTCCATGGAAATACCCTAGTTGCTACTCCTGATAACCACTGATGCTTCTTACTCAGTTTCACAGGGATTCTCCCCAGGCAGCCCTCTGCCAAGAGCCCAGATTTTTAGGCTAATTCTCATGCTTATTCCATCTAGTTTTTGCAAATAATAGTATGTTGTATTTATCCACAGACTGACTGCCCCCAAAAGCTAAAACATTACACCTCCCTAGCCTATTAAATGCCTCAGAATAGTGCTATGCGACAGAAATATAATGTGAGCCATATATATAACTAAAATTTTGTAGTAGCCAAATTAAAAACAGGTGACACGATGTTTTACATAATCCAGTATATGTAAAACCTACATGTATACATTGTTTGTATATGTAATCTATGTGAACAATTTTTCACATTAAGTCTTCAAATTTTACTGTGCATTTCATCCTGACAGCACATCTCATTTCATGTTAGCTACACTTCAAGTGTTCAGTCTCTGTGTATGGGTTGTGACTGCTGTATTGGACAACACAGCACTACAAAATAATTCCCAGTGACTCAGATTTTGCTCTGAAAATGATGGCATAGGGACATTATTGAAAAGAAGTGGGTTTATTAACCCTCCTTATGCTTATGGTTTTTTTTTTTTTTTTTTTTTTTTGAGACGGAGTCTCGCTCTTGTTACCCAGGCTGGAGTGCAATGGCGCGATCTCGGCTCACCGCAACCTCTGTCTCCCGGGTTCAGGCAATTCTCCTGCCTCAGCCTCCTGAGTAGCTGGGATTACAGGCACGTGCCACCATGCCCAGCTAATTTTTTGTATTTTTAGTAGAGACAGGGTTTCACCATGTTGACCAGGATGGTCTCGATCTCCTGACCTCGTGATCCACCTGCCTCGGCCTCCCAAAGTGCTGGGATTACAGGCTTGAGCCACCGCGCCCGGCATGCTTATGGTTTTTATAATACTTCCAGAGATCTGGATTTTCATTTTCCTGCATGTTCAGGTTGATTTTCTTTATCAGCCCTGAATTAAATTAATTTAGGATAGACTTCATTCTCTGAACTAAACATATAATATTGTATTTCTCTTAATTCTCATATGAGTGCCAGAAAGATTATATTGAATATTGAAATGGCTTGTAGTCTTTAAGATTTATGCAGATTTTTTTTTTTTTAGACAACTAAAATATTCTGTGAATGTGTCACCAAGTATAATTTTGGGTACTTGAAAGCTAAGATTTGCAGTGGCACTGCCAAAGTTCCACAGAGAGAAATGCATGTCTATGCGGCTAAGGCCACATCAACTCATGCAGAGTAATTTAACTCTGGTGTTACGTTCTAAAATAGACAATAACCAAAAGTATCACATCCAGAAGAGAACACATAGGAAGGTTGGGTGAACTTGAAGTATTAGCATCTGAGGAACTATTACAAGGACAAGAGAGGCTTGTTTTACCTGTGGAAGACTCAGACAGCATGGAAAGTATTTTTAAATACCTAAAGGCCTTCCAAACATAGAGGGGATTACATTTGTCCCAGTGAGCCCAAAGAGCAGTAGCCCTACTAGGGGAAGATTACAAGGAAAGACTTGGACTCAACATGGGGAAGACTTTGACCATGGTAACACATGTCCAAATGGAAATATGCTATTCAAGAAATAATGTCTTTGTTCTCACTGTAGAAGGTGCAAAAAGTGAGGTGGTGTTGTCAGTGTAATGGGATAGAGGGAATTCAGGCATCATGTAGTTATCTTTTGTGTTATCCAATCCTGAAAGCCTCTCCTGGTGTCATTTCTCTTCCACTTCATTTGCCTACAGCTAGAACAACAGAGGCAGCAGTTGCTTACTGAACGCCAAAACTTCCACATGGAACAGTTGAAGTATGCTGAATTACGAGCACGACAGCAAATGGAACAGCAGCAGCATGGCCAGAACCCTCAACAGGCACACCAGCACTCAGGAGGACCTGGCCTGGCCCCACTTGGAGCAGCAGGGCACCCTGGCATGATGCCTCATCAACAGCCCCCTCCCTACCCTCTGATGCACCACCAGATGCCACCACCTCACCCCCCCCAGCCAGGTAAGGGGAAGACCCTGCTCTTGGAAAAAGCTTGTGGTTATCACTGAGGCACAGAGCATCATAGGGACCAACCACACAGGTGATATTTTCTGATGATGACTCTTCAGAATTTTCATTGTCATCTGGAAAATTGTAGGCATGTGAGATTTAGGCTAATCACCACATAAACCCTTCCATGTTCTTTTTCTCTTGATATGATGCCTTTTCGTTGAGTAGGTCGCCTCTGAATGGACAGTAGTATCTCAGAGTTCATTCAAAATTTATTCTTGGATTTTTGATACTTTTAAAAAAATTTATAGACATTTTTAAAGATAAACACACACAACACAGTAAACTCCCATGACCTGGTTTCACCAAAACATGATCTTTCTACCATTTTTACTTTTTGTTAATGGAAATCTTCAACTATAGACAAAGTAGAGAGAATAGTATGATAATCCCCCATGTACCATTGGACAGCTTCAAAATTATCAGCATTTTTGGGTCTGTTTTTATCTTTTCCTCCTCGGTTTTGGAAATGAGATAGATTTCAAATATATCTCTAACTAGTGGGAATCTTATTCTTTAACATAACTATCATCACCATCAACCAAAAGTAACCATAATATCATTAGTTAACTGTCTTGAGTGCTTAGTTTGTTTGAATCAGTATTCAATTAAGATTCACACCTTTTTTTTTTTTTTTTTTTTTTTTTTTTTTTTTTCTTCTTTTTTTTTTATTTTTTTTTTTTTTTTTCATTTTCCTTTTTTTTGGTGCCATTTATGTATTGAAGAAACCAGGGTTTTCCACAAAGTGGCAGTGCCTGATTGTACACCAAAGATGCATAGTGTCATGTCATGTGTCCTGCTTCCTCAATCCCCAACCCCCAACACACAAACACACATTTTCCATAAACCAGAAGATTGCCCTCACTGCTCTGGATATTTTATCAGGTTCAGATAGGTTCAGATTCACTTTTTTTATTGTTGATTTTTTGTTTTTTGAGACAGTGTCTTGCCCTGTCGTTCAGGGTGGGATGCAGTGACATGATCATGGCTCACTACAGCCTCAACCTCCCAGTGTCAGTCAATCCTCCCATCTCAGCTTCCTGAGTAGCTGCAACTAGAGGCACACAGCACCACAGCTGGCTAATTTTTGCTTTGTTTTTATAAAGATAGGGTTTTGCCATGTTGCCCAGGCTGGTCTTGAACTCCTGGGCTCAAGCGATCCTCCCCCCTTGGCCTTTCAAAGTACTGAGAATATAGGCATGAGCTCTACCACACCCAGCCAAGATTCACTTAGGAGATCAGGCATTCCTGTAATGTCAGTTTTTCTTTTTGTGATATTAAGATTGATCTGTAGTTCTCGTGTTGTCAGTCGGATTCATCTACTATAAAAATCCCCATTTGATTTAATTGTTTTTGAATTGAGCTTTCAGAATTGCTTCCTAAATTAGCTATTTTAGGCCAGGCACAGTGGTTCATACCTGTAATAATCTCAGCACTTTGGGAGGCCGAGGTGGGCAGATCACCTGAGGTCAGGAGTTTGAGACCAGCCTGGCCAAAATGGCGAAACCCCCATCTCTACTGAAAATACAAAAATTAGTCAGACACGGTGGCATACACCTGCAATCCCAGGAGGCCAAGGCACAAGAATTGCTTGAACCCAGAGGGCGGAGGTTGCGGCAAGCCAAGATTGAGCCCATTGCACTCTAGCCTGGGCAACAAAATGAGACTATGTCTCCAAAAAAAAAAAGAAAAAAGCTATTTTATCAGGCATTGCAAAGTGGTGAGATTTTTAAGTTTATTATTTCTTCAGTGTTGATAGTAGTGATTCTTTCATTCAAAAAAACAAACTTTTTTTCTCTCAATTTTTTAGTTGCCCTGAAAATCAATTCTTACAGGAAAGCCTGGGTAAATCATTCATATTTTCCCTCTATTTGTTATCTGTATAATGAGTTGCTGCCCCCGCAGTCACCAAAGGTGACCAGTGAAGGTTTTTTGGTGTGTGTATATTTTTAATATTGTGAAATTATATATTTTTTAATATATTATGTGTTTCAGTCTATCATAGATACTATTTGTGTTTCTCATTTCTTCTTAAAAGAGTTTGGGTCTCGGCCTGGCATGGTGGCTCATGCCTGTAATCTCAGCACTTTGGGAGAGTGAAGTTGGTGGATCACTTGAGGTCGGGAGTTCAAGACCAGCCTGAAAAACATGGAGAAATCCTGTTTCTACTAAAAATACAAAATGTAGCCGAGTATGGTGGCACATGTCTGTAATTCCAGCTGCTTGGGAGGCTGAGGCAGGAGAATCACTTGAATGCGGGATGCAGAGGTTGCAGTGAGCCGAGATCATGCCATTGCCCTCTACCCTGGGCAACAAGATCAAAACTCCGTTTCAAAAAAAAAAAAGATTGGATCTCACTGAGTTGCCCAGGCTGGACTCAAATTCCTGTGCTCAAGCAACCTCCCACCTCAGTTTCCCAAGTAGCTGGATTACAGCATATGCCACTGCGCCTGACTTTTTTTGATGCTTAAATTGTCCCATTTGTAGCTTGTGAGAGCTGTTTCAAATTGGCGATTACTTACTAAATTTTAACCACTTTGAAAGTTGAGTTCACGGTTCCTTCAAACTTAACTGCCAACATCATTGAAACCTAAGATGTACTTTTAATCCCAGTTCACCCCCAATCCCATATTTCTTCTGTTCTTAGAGGGCAATATTTATGGGTGTGTGCTATGTATTATGTTACTCTAGTGAAAGTCGTCTTGTAAGAGTTTTAAAGTTTGCTTATCCACAGTAATTTACCAAGTGCTTAGCCAGAGTCAGAGTTTGTGCTTTTGGAAATGGGATGCAGATTCTCTGGCAAGTCATGGTGTTATCAACATACTTATTCACAATCCAGAATATGTTTTAGGCTATAGTTTTAGTATTTATTGGCTTTACTGAAAAATGGGGCTAAGTTTATTTTGGGAAGCTTTTGTTTACACACACACGATTAAATTGCAGTCATGAAATTTACTACCATCATCAGACTTGCCACTCTAAATGACATTTGTGGAGATAGCCTTAGAAGTTTGTCATGCTCAAAACAACAAGATGCTTTCTTTCTCAGTCTTCTTTTCTGTCTACTTGAGCGGATCTTAAATTCTCTGTAAGGGATCTGATTTTCTCCAGAGTTCAGCTTTCAAAAGATACAAATGCTTAATGGAGTGCAGATCACAAAGTAGTTTTTCAAAAACAGTAGTTATTTAAAATTTTAATTCCTAGGCTAGGCTTGGTGGCTCACACCTTTAATCCTAGCACTTTGGGAAGCCAAGGCTTGCGGATCGCTTGAATCCCAGGAGTTTGAGACAGCCTGGGCAATATACAGAGATGCTGTCTCTTCTCTACCAAAAAAAAAAAAAAAAGAAAAAAAGAAAAAGATTAGCCAGGTGTGGTGGCACTACATGCCTGTAGTCCTAGCTGAGGTTGGAGGGTTGCTTGAACCCAGGAGTTTGAAATTGCAGTGAACTGTGATTGTGCCACTGCACCATTACACTCCAGCCTGGGCAGCAGTAAGACCCTGTCTCTGAAAACTAAAATAAAAATAAGTAAAATTTCAGTTTCTAAAATACTGGGATAAACATTTAAGAGGAAGTTCACTGTAGTAGCTACTTAGTATTTGGTTCTGATGGTGCTAAAGCATCATATTCACATTAACTGCTCACAGAGAACATCTGAGGAGTGCTAGCATCTACATTTAGTTTGTAAAAGATGAGCAAAGATTGCATTGGAAAAAAAAAAAAAAGAAAGAAAAAGATGAGCAGAGAGGTGCATCTGCTTTCTTCCCTAAATGACATTTTGGTGATAATCGGTGATTGTGTGCCATGCCCTTCACCTACATTGTTTTGCTTACTTCTCATTACACGTTACAGTTGAAGAACTGATGTGTGGCAAGGCCATATAGCTTTGCTCCATGGGGGAGCCAGGATTCACACTGAGCTCCATCTGATTCCAAGGAGAGGTCAGTGCCACAGTGCTGCCTCCCGTGACAGAAGACTAAGAGGGGATTTACAGCAGATTCAGATACAACTATTCTCATGAAGCAGTGCCAGCAAAGTAGAGTTCATAAAAATAGTCTTTGAAAGAGAAATAGGTAATTTTAATCTTTTACTCTCTCACAAAAATAGGCTTTTCTAAAGTGAATTTGTAAAGGAAAGAATTATTGAGTGCAGTGCATGATGAGAGGGTTTTTTTTTATTTTTAGTCTGTGACAAGATAGTCTCATGATTTTTTATTGAAATGCAATGTACATTTTGGATAATGCACAAATCATAAATATTTAGCTGTATTTTTTTTTTTTTTTACTTCCTCTATACTTGCAGAATTGATGAGTTTTAACAAAGGGAATATTCCTGTGTAACAACACACAGAGGCTCTCATTATGCTCAGTCACCTCCCCTTCCGAGGATACAACTGTCCTGACTTCTAACACCATAGACCTAGTTGGTCTGGTTGAATGTTATCTAAATGTA